ACACTTCACGCTGCCCGGCACAGTTGGCTGCCACCGGCGGTATGCCAGTCTTATTTCCTTTTTATTTTACATGCAACAGATGTCCGACACTTTTAATTGCATAATTTTATTGGTTTCAACGAGTTCGTTTGCATATTTCGGCGCGAGGTGTGCGCTTGCTTTGAAATGTTTCTGCGAATTTTTTCGCTGGTGAAAAATAGAATTCGTCTCGGGTTTGGGGTTTTTGGCTGCGTTGATAAATGAAATGTTTGCGGTCGCTTAACGCATGAAAAGTGGAACTAATTGATGAAATTTAATGAGCCAAATCTAGCATAACGGTAATATAGTTTTATTTATTCTCTTTATGGAAAATACTCGCGAATGTCAGAAGCGATTTCCGGTCGTCTGTTGAGACATATGAGTATGTGGTTCAAGCCTCGTGGCGCCACAACTGGCGCGCAGCCCTTTGATCTTGAGAAATTATGTAGGAGAGAAGTTAAAGTAATTCTTCAAGAAATATTTGCGTTGCAGATAATTTTTTGGTAGTCAAATTGACTCAGGCATCCAAATGAGCGAAATCACACACCAATTATTTTGTATCACAATAGGTTTTTTATAACCTCGAAAATATTATTGTACTGTTTGGTACTGACATGTTGGTACCCAGCTCTGAACTCTGGACTATTTTGCAAGGATTTCTGATTTTCTTTATATAGAGTATCTGAGTCGATGTGTGCTTTCCAGGAAGTCCAACTCAATGTTAATGTGAGTCGTTTCAGCTTCAAGCAAGTCCCTTCAGCGTTGATTCTTAAGCGATCTGAAGATTTTGATCCCGACTCTTTACTTTAGTTATAAGCACTGTCGTTTGTGGAACGAGCAAGACCAACTGACAGCAGCAACACCGAGTATTTTTAATTTATTTATCGATAGAATTTTAATGTTTTCGACTTTAATTCGTTGTCTATATGGTAATACCGCTCGGCGTGTACGTCATTGTACTGCTTTATTAAGTACCCTTCAAAACTTCAAAAACAAAAAAAAACGGTTAACTAGAACCATTTTAAAAGTTTAGAGACGCATCTCAAAAACTGGAATCATAATCCAATATATTAAAAAAGTATGAAGTAGTAAAGATTCTTAAACCGGTTACCTGATTACTGAAATATTATTAGCTTGGTATCGGCTCTCTAACTTTCAACGATTCAAATGCATGTTGACTAAAGCCAATAAGGCTCTGACTCGGACAGCTGAGAGCGTCGGTCCGCTGTGATACCTAAACCTTTTAAATATTGAACCTTAAGACACTCAAAAATCTAACAACACTTTTAGGCTGTACCAGAAATTTCTTAATTTCGCCTATTTAACCTAGTTCGCTGATAGTATGACAGCCGAGATGTTTCAACCTCAGTGTTTCAAAAGCTGAACGATCGAGGAGAAAGAACCGAAATGTTTTAACCTCACCTTTCTCCATACAACTTTACAAATTTGCGTCCGACAAATTTTTTTAGCCTTACCTGCTACATGTTACATGTATGCTGAGAAGCTTGACCAGTAAGAACTTAAACGATTTCAGCAAGACCTGCTAAGGACAAGTAGTTCGCTTAGTCTATCTCCTGCGTTCTACTCTAGGTCAGAAGGATTACGCAGTCGTACAAGATGTAGTTGTTGCCCCAACCCTTACTGAACTCACACGAGATATCGGTCTAGCGCTAGAGGTTAACGAAGACCGAGCTCGCTCTCAAGAAGATGTAATTAGGACAAGGGTCTCTTGTGAGCTTATCAGCTTTACAGTTTCCAGCGATTTCTGCATGACTATGGGCCGCATAGTGAACGAGTATGGTCGTTGTGCTGTAGCGAAAGTTCACCTCGCTAAAAGAGTCTGGACTTTGGAGCTATACATCTTCTGCTACCAGGGCAGCCACTTCTACTTGAAAAGCAGTGCAGCGATTCGTTAGCCTGACACTAAGCTTGACAGAGAGCTCCGTACAGAAACCTCTCGCTTCAACCTTCCCACTCAGCTTCGACCAATCCGTAAAAAAGCTCACTGCCCCTCTTCTCTAACAATTTCGTGCCGCTCCCACTTCATCGTCTATAAGTGAGCTAAGAAAAAGCTACCAAGAGTATACTCAGCGACGCAGTGATCCAAGTCAGAAGTACTTTTCTGCAAAATCCGATTTTGGAATGACGAGGTGTTGTTGTAGTAGTCCATAAAATTTACAAATAGTTTCAGCGGCATAGAAGGCTGCTGATGTAAAGGACGGTAGACTGACCTAGATCGTCATTCGAAAGGACGACGAGAAGGTTTATAATATGGATGAAAAATGTGTGCGATAGAACCTATTTGGGAAAATCTATGGTAGGGAGAAACAGATGCAAACGAACCTGATAGGTGAGGTTTGTCTTCTTTTTCCGTGACACATCTCTTTCACACATTCTATTATTTGAACGAAGGCAGCGCGATCGCCTGTTAACTCTATTTAGTCAACAACACATTCTGCCAATTTTTTGCACGTTTCTAAGAACTAAGAAAATCCCAAACACATTACATAGTCCACTTGATTAATATGCGCACATTCGTTCAAGAAATTACCAAATCATTTGATCACGAATTGCAAATTAATTATTGCATTCTCATGCGAAATACGGTAATTCCTGAAAATTTGTTTATTAGCTAGCTAAATGTCAAAACAACACACGACAGTTGACGGGGCGACAACGCCAACAACGACGACAACGCGCTCATGTCAAACAAACTTAACCTAACCGAACATGCGCTAAATGCCAACACACCCCCTCCCTTGCATTCTCCACCCCTCCTCTTCCTAGGCTGATGTGCGAAATGCATTTTTTCCGGCAGTGCAATGAATGGAATGCGCCACACATACAAATATACAGATGTGCAAAAAAGAAAAAATTAAATAATGCGAAATTAAATAAAATTCTCGAATTGTATGACATGGCTGTCAAGCAGAATCGTCAGCTTGTCCGACGCACTGTGACGCGATTGCTCAGCCCACAGCCCACAAACCCAAGCTACCACACAGCCTGTCAATCAGCCATTCAGCTGCGCATTCTAATTGTAATTGGCATGGCAATCGATCGATTGTTGCTGCTGCTGCTGATGTCTGCCTGCCTGCTGACTGCGCCGATTGCAGAAATGAATGACGGACGGACTGACGTCGCTTGCTGTTGCCGATTGCACTCTGCTGCTGCAATTGATGTGTTATTGTTGTGCTTAATTGAAATGTGGCGCCAATGGAAACATTCCACATACACGCACACACACATACATACATGGCGCTTTGCAATTGTGGCAACAACTGTTGCTGTTGCCGAGCTATTCTGAGCGTTTATCGTACGCATATTATTTGCCGTATAGACACATACACACAAATACAAACACACATATATACATTTTGCTTTTGCTTATCTCGCTGCAGACCACTTGTTTAATATCTGCTAAAGGTTGACTCAGTGGCAATAATAATTAAAACAACAACAAAAATCAAATAAATAAAAATTAACAATGCAATGCGGCAAAACAGTTGGTGATGATTGGAAATGCATGTCTGTAACATATATACTTGCAATTGGCGCTTACACCTCTGCTAAAAGTTTTGTCGAGCTTTTTTGGAGGGTCCCAGAGTCTTTAAGTTGCCGCCGCCAAGCTGAAGAATTTTACAAAAAATATCTTCCTATTTGAAATCTCTGTGCACAGACACAAAACTTCTGTTGACACCTTCAACTCTAAGAAAAATGTAATTGAAAAGCGAACATGTGCAATATCTTGCCCTACTCATTGAAAACGCTCGAATCAAAGGCTAACATCTCACTCATAAAATTTATGATTAACGATTTTTCGGAGATTTATATTGCCTTAGACAAGAACCCATGCCAAATTTCGTGAAGATATCTCGTAAACTGAAAAGGCTTTCCATGCAAGCACTTGATTCCGATCGTTCAGTTTGTATGGCAGCTATATGCTATATTGATCCGATAACGGCGGTTCCGACAAATGAACAGCTTCTTGGGGAGAAAAGAACGTGTGCAAAATTTCAGATCGATATCTCAAAAACTAAGGGGCTAGTTCGCGTATATACAGACAGACGGACATGGCTGAATTGACTCAGCTCGTCATGCTGATCATTTATATATGTAAATATTTTAGAGAGTTTCCGATGTTTCCTTCGGGGTATTATAAACCTCGTGGCAAACTTAATATACCCTACTCATAGTATATCAAAGTAGAGCAACATGAAGTGCAAGAAAACTGGAATTTGTTCTACATCAGATTAAAAATCCTACCACAATCACAATAGTCTTTGACATCTTATGTTCAAATTACTTTGGAATCTAAAAAAACGCTTATCTATAGGACTCACCTATAACGAAAAAGAACATGATGTGATTTTTAAAAGCATTATTTAGTCTCGGTAAGGAGGTTAAGCCTGATTTTGGTTCTCATAAGGGATCACCGTGTAGAAGTACATAATTTTGAAGTAATATTCTTTCGCAGACGAATACAACAGACAGTTAGATAGACAAACGCTGATAGAAAAAATTGTACTTTTACCAACGTTCTTGGAACGAAAGACAAGGTATACAAGCTTCACGAGAATAATACCAACTGAAAATAGCGGAATTTGGATATTTGGAAAAGAAAAAGAGACTATCACTATTTTCTAAAAAGCTAGCATAAAACCATATTTTTTTAACGGATAGGATTTCCAATCGCCAATATATTAAATACAGTATATCGCCCCACCTATAGTTATTACAAGAAGTCTAAGGAAGTCTACGAATTAAGGAGGTTGACTTGGTCCTTTCGACAGATTTTTTGTAAAAATCTAGGATTTTAAAGATTTTCAAAGACATCACTTTGTCATTATGTTACACATTTTAGAATTTTGTAATATTTTCGAAGTATACAAATTCTAGGAATAATTGAGTTATTTATTATTTGTTTCATAGAATAAATGCGTGGCAACTTTGAAATGAAAATAATTTCAAAATTCACTTACCACTCATTCGTTGACCACAGCTTACCAGTAAAAAAATACAGCACCGTTCTTACCTGAAATAAAATAGAAATAACGTTTATTTAATAAAAATATTATTTCCCAAGAACTGAAAGCATTAAAATAATCGAAAACAAGATTTTTTTTTACTTCTACCATAGCTAGTAATTTTATATATTTATACGACCAGAACTTGTGGCACATATATATGTTCACCTAACTAATTTATATAGTTAGTACTAAGGATGTTAAAATCATCAGGAGGAAAAGGACAACTGCCACGCACATAAAACGAGATTGACATGTCTTATCTCAGAAACGGTTATACTAGTCCCATCTCATCCCAGTTCATAACATTTCCATTCAATCATCCTAATACTCTTTAAAAAATTCGAACAAAAACCACGCTCACACCTAAAGTAAAGACATTTACTAAGCGCTCAGCTTATTTGAATTTGCTTAGTTAGCCGAGATATCAACCAAGAAATCAAAATATGGAACTTTCTTTTAAATAATGATCGAAATCTGTCAACACCTTCCCTCATTTATCGAATATGAGAACAACCGTACTACCGCAGGGTTTTATAGTGTAAATACAGAATACTGTATGATTTTTCAGCATATCGTAGTTTGAAGCATTCCACAAGTCTTCATCCCCAATCTGGTATACTTTATACCGCATATTATGATATATATTAAAGAAATAATGAAATAATTCGCGCAAAACTACATATTTGTACTCCACTACTATTCTGAAGAATATATTGACTATTATTTTCCTTTTTTTTCAACAAAAGCTGTTTCAACCATAATTGAGTCGGAGTTAGCACTCTGTACTCATTTTTATTAAACGCTTTGTCACATAATGCTTATGAGAATATTATTATTATGTTTTTTTTTCATTGTTTACTATAGTTTATTTCACCTGTTGTGTAATTATTTGTAGTAAAAACCAAGAAGTTAAGTATTTGGTAGAGTCAACAGAGGTATGAAGAGTAATTGTAAAAACCAGTCAAAACAATAAGCGTTTAAATATTATTACACACACAGATGTTCTTGGGGGTAATATTTGCGCTTAAAACACACCTTCCCACCAACTTACAAGCGGCTACTAAGCCATAAAAAAAAAATTATAGTAAAAATGTGCACAAATAAGGTGAAGTGTGTGTGTTCTGAGATAGAAGTAAAAAAGTATTCAGACAAGAATCGCAGACAGGAAGAAAAGTATGCATATCTAAATGATCAGCGGGAGTCGATTTAGCCTTGTCCATATGTCTGTCTGTTTGTCAGTCTGTATTTCACGTGTATATTAGCTCTCAGTTTTTGAGATATCGATCTTTAACTTTGCACACGTTCGGATCACTATAGCATATATGAGCTGTCAAGCAAACCGATCGATCAAAGTAATATCCTTGTATGAAAAACCATTTTATTCGACAAGATGTCTTCACGATATTTGGCATAGATTATCATCTAAGCCTACAATCTCCGAATATATTGTTCAGATCGGGTCACTTTAGCATATAGCTGTCAAACAAACCGATCGATCAAAGTAATATCCTTGTATGAAAAACCATTTTATTCGACAAGATGTCCTCACGATATTTGGCATAGATTATCATCTAAGCGTACAATCTCCGAATATATTGTTCAGATCGGGTCACTATAGCATATAGCTGCCATACAAACTGAGCGATCAAAGTCAAGCTGAACCTATGAATGCTATTATAGCTTCGGTGAAGCCGAAGTTAATGTTTTTTTCTTCGTTCTGAATAAAATTGACCAAAATTAGTCTCTGTTTCGGCGATAATCCTCTCATTTAACCCATATTGCTTATTATCGTGCCACTTTTTACCATTTTCAAAGAAGTCTACTCTAATGTTTTTGTCGGAATTCGAAAACTCATATTGTATTTTGTTTGTAGGAAAACTTTTCTCGTCCACTGTAGTTTTATATGTGCGCGTAAGGCAACCGCGAGTGCTTCACGATTGTAACTTTACACTTGCCACTTGACTACAAAACCATTTAGAAATACAGATGTTTAACATACAACAGCTACAACAACATATACATACATGTGTATGTACATATGTCAAAATATACAGCAGTTTATAAGAATGCAAGAAAGCACATTTTGTAGCTACGCAGTGTGGCGTGAAGATAAGCGACATCAAAACAGCTGAAAGGCGGCATGTGTTATTATTTTTCGTTAATTAAGATAAAATTCTACTTAAATTTTTTTGGCATTTTTGTTTTGAATATTAATTCTTTGAGGTAAGGCTTACGCCTTGCGGTTGACACTTTTTTCCAACACTCATGCAAACAGTCGAGGTGATTGCGAATTGCAAAGAATAAATTAAGTGACAAGTGGGCGTGTGGCTCCGTAATTGAAAATGTTTCTTTTTGCGAAAGTTTCACTGACGCCACGAAAATATGCTTATCACATAAGTTGATATCAATTTTATGACATATTCCTTAAATATACTCAGCGCGACATTTTCGGCCAATTTGAGAAGGTTATGGGAAATTAAATTCTGGCAAGAGAAGTTTGCAAACCAGTTGTAGTTATTTATATAACGGTAAAAAAAAAACGGTTTGTATTGGCAGGAAGTGCATGAATGGAGTGGATATGTTGGCTCACGGCTATTCATAACGGTTTATTACAGTTTATACGGGTTTTAACAGAGATTACATACACATGGATAGACCCCATAGTGTATTTTTTGAAATCAGCTTTAAGTTTCTAAAATTTTTTATACCCTAAACAAGGCATATTAAATTTGTCACGTAGCTTGTAAAATAATCCGATCTGAAATTTTTTACACGTCTTTTTGACCGACGACCGATCCAAATCAAGGTTCTTGTATAGAAAATTTTTTTATTTGTAAGGTGCATTATAGCTTCGGTGCAACCGAAGTTAGCCTTTTTTCTTGGTTTTTTTGTGCATTTTTCGATAAATAGATGTTTTAAGATTTTAAAGTCAGGCCAGTATTTTTAATTTTTTACGAAGATTCTAGTTTGATCTCCAAAACCACCTGTTATATAAACGAATTGAACGAAAAATGTTATACACCACTGAAATAAGAAAAAAAATGTGGATGATGTCCATATTTCTACTTTCTAGGAACTCAAACTCTACTAATGACATTTATATTTTCAATAAGCCTAATTTCGAACTTCGGAGGCTAACTTTGAAAAACGGAACGATTTTGTTTATTTATGACTCAATCTCTCGCAAAAAATTGGGTTAGATCAATACCCAGAAAGAAGGTCGATTTTATCATATAGTGATATAGATTATTTTCAAGGAATTCGATAGCTTTATATAATCGACTGGGAGATATCGTTTTTATATATTCGAAATTAATCTGAATATTTGACGAGGGACTAGTACTATTTCTCCACTTTTTTCTTCGGGATCACAAGTCTTGGAATATTATTTTTGAAACAAGTTCTAAAAAGGAGTAGTCTAAGAGTCATATTTTCGAAGAAAACTCTCAAAAGGAACAGTATGCGGTAATTGGTTCGTTGAGTCTGAAAACGTTTTGTCTTAAGCTATTTAACAGATGTTTGTTCTCATTTCATTACACTGGGTTCCAATACACTCATCATGCTTTCAACCATATACACAGCTTTGTGTTCGCCTTAGTTTCATTAAAAAGATACTCTATCCGTAAAGAATCCGTCAGCTTTATCGTTCCAATTATATTCTTATGATCATAAAATCGGAGAATAAGGGGTTTTAAAAGGTTTTGCGTTGGGTTTAATATCGCCAAAATTTTTCAGATTGCAAGGCAAAAATAATTGAAGAGCAATATTTTCAATTTCAAAACCATAATTTTGGTAGAAATCGATATTAAGAAATAGTTCTTAATTTATATCTTAATTATATATTTTTTGTGTATTTGGTAGAAGTCATTTCTATACATTTGTGCTGCAACAGCACGGTATCTAATACGATCTCAGATCAGTGAAGAGTAGAACGTGCAAACTTTGAACAAAAAACGATAAGCTTTTCCGAAATGGTATTTGAAACTTAAATGATTAGAGGCAATGAATATCCTTATGTTACGGAAGATGCGATATGCTGAACCAATCCTTATGTTACGGAAGATGCGATATGCTGAACCAAGCGCCCGAACTAATACTCGTCAGTGGTCCACACAGAAAATCAACAAATGTCAAAGTAAGGTTAAGTTCGAATTAAAGTTCAACATTGACAATACCTTTTCGTCGTTAAAAATATACGCCTAACTATATACTTTTATGGATACAATCATACAAGAAACCCAACTCATTCACAACTGCCTCGGTCGGCTCGCACGCAAGTGCAATCGGGGAAAGTGAGCTATAAAATGCAACAAAGTACTATTACTGTTGTTGCTATTGCAATTCACAACGCGCAGTTTGCAGGTTGTCGACAATGTATACATGTGCTTCTTGCTGCATTGCCGTTAAATGTTGGTTGTTGTTGCAACAAACTGCCCAACATATCAATAAAATATTCTTAATGTCACTTAAATGTCATATTAAATGTTATTGTAATGCATTAAATTGGCGCCAAATGTCATTACATGCAACGCGAATCAAGCGACACGTACGCACAAGCAATAGCAACAACAAAGTGTAGGACAAGCAGCAATTGAGGAGTCAACAATTACTAGAATTGGCGTTGGTTGTGTTGTTGCGTTTGCCGCCACCCTGGCACGCCTGCTCCATCGTCGCCGGGAACAAGGGCAAATGCGTCACGCATGCGCCACCTATGTGTCAATTTAAATTCCAGCAATCAATTACTTACAAATGAGTACAAGCGCGCACACAAACATGTTATATTGTATATACGTGCGCGCATGTGTGTGAGTGTGTGTGTGCTCGCAGCCTCAATGGCAATAACATGTAGACGCGCAAACGTTGATGGTGTTGTTGTTGTTGCTGCATGTCGTTTTGCGCGTTCAGCAAATGAATATGAGAGACAACCAAATCAACACCATACAGCGCCAATATCAATATCAATAACAACAACAGCAACACAAGCGTCAGCGTGGAAAATTCGCAT